CAATGTGCGGGATCAGCGTAGCTCAGTGAAACCATCACAGTAAGTAAAATCTGTTGTACTCATCACAAAACCAGCTGGGTAAGGTGGTTCGGTTACTATACCCCGATGCTTACAGCGCCTCATTCGGAAAATCAAATGCCTAAAATTAAGCCGTGATATTCAGCCTATTTTTAATGCGCGATATTTGGAGTGGTATATGTAAGTCAATGCAGTAAATAGAAACAAAATTACACAAAATGCTTATTATTGTTATTTTATTGTTATTTTTATCATTCTTACTATTAGCTATTTACTCTTTTGTGTGACAAATAAATTTAACATACATTTAATGCCATAAAGTAGATGTAATCGTACTTATTCAGCGTTAAGCTACATATTTAATGCAAATGAGACTATATCGGAGTAGGTGTAGGCGCATTTGAGCTTCTTTCAAAGCCTCCGGTTGATGTTTCACGATAAAATTCATACAGCTTACAATTGCCTTCTAGCCAATGATTTTACCTCCTAAACTCTTCCCATTACTTCTGCTGACCCAACTAGTTAAACTCAAAATGACAAGATTGGATTGCGACAAACAGCATAAGAAAGGACAAATGCTGCTTGGTTTGTGAGAATTATCTACTTTGGCATCAGGCAAAGCTGATTTAATCTGCCTTAACATGGCATGAATACGTGAGTAGTCTTCAAGGCCTTTCAAATTCGTTCCGGCTGTTCTTCCCTCTATCTGTCGGCCAGTGTTGGGAGCCATTATCTGAGGGCTCGAAAAAAGAGAAAAGGAATCCATTTATTCGGTTGTGAATAATTCCAGTGCATACAGGATGGACTTCAGTATTGGCACTACTTACCGTATTTATCATTGGTAACATGTGCACTTGAGCCCTTAAATTTAAATGCGTCATTTCTGGCAATGAGTAAATTAATGGTGGAGATGGTGCTGCAGCAATTAGGACCAACAGGTTGCTACCCTTTAAATGGAAATAATCACTTACGCTAAACCTACAGTACAGCTGTACTCTGCATCACAGTAAACTTCTCGGTGACAAAGTATACCCGCCTCCGCTCACAACTGGCCAGCAACACATTCTCCTCCACCAATAACCACTGCCGTCTGGCTATCGAGACCAACTCCTAGACCTTGACAAGACCGCCTAAATTATGCCGCGATAGATCTCACTCCTTTTAACAAGGTATGAGACAATATCACGTAACACATTTTCAGAGAAATCAACGCCCACTATCTATGGATGAGTTTAGAGCCAATTTAACTTTGACCGTGCTCAGCAAACCTTTTAATAAGAAAGGACCTAGGATATATTAAGGCATTTATTTACTTTCAAGGGTCCATTTGTAAATACAAAAGGAACAACAAATATCTGTAAGCAAAGAACTGACAAGAAGTACTATGCGTCAATGAGCAAGCGTTTATCTTAGGGTAGAGACAAAGTGAAATATAATGGGATGAACGACCATGTTCA